GGGCCGCGCCGCAGCCCTCCGCGCTCCCCCCTATCATGCCCCGGGCCCGGGCCGGGGCCGCCGGAGCAGCCAGGACACCATGCCCGAGGACGGCGCTGGCGACGGGGGGGAGGTGCCCGCGCTCATGCCGGAGGGCGAGCCGCTGCGAGAGGAGGTACTGGCGCGGCGCGGTGGGGGCCGGAGCCGGGGCTGGAGCAGGGTGACGGGGACAAGGGAGGGGGCGAACCCCGGGACGGGGTCTGGGAAGGGAACTCCCGGAGCCCCTGCGGCCAATGACGTCATTGGGGTAGCCTGCGTCCTGAGAAGGGTCCCGGGGCCCAGGGGCCCGCGTGCGGGTCGGGGTGGGGCGGCTGGGAAGGGACGAGAAGGCGACTCCCGCCCCCGGCGCCCCCTCATCCAGCCTCGCCCTCCTGTGACGTAAGCGCCGGGCCCCTGCTCTCCCCGTTCCGCAGCGCTGCCCTCACCCCCGGGCCCCGGGGGTCAGGCCCCCAGCCCGGCCCAGCCGCTCACGAGGTGCCCGGGCGGCGCCTGCAATGCAGCAGCGGTGGCAGGGACTTGGGGGGCGGGGAGCGGAGGGAGGAGGGAAAGGAGGAAGGGAGGCTGCCTCTGGTACCCCTTCTCCGTGTCCCCGCGGTGAGGCCCAAGGGTCCATCCTGCAGGCTGGGACCCTCAGAATGGCCCCTCCTCAGCCCTAGCCAGGAAGAGGATCTGCAGGGGTGTGGGGCCCTGTGTGGGGTGTGGGGTGATAGGTGGTGAGTGGATCTATGTGTGCGAATGCTGGTTCGTGCTCCCCACACCTTGGGTGGGACATATGTGCCCCATGGTCAGGTGAGGGTCTGGTGGATCCCTTGGCCCAAGTGAAGTGGTGATGTGTGAGTGCGTGTGAGTGCATGCTCCTGTGGGTGGTGGGTGGGTCTCTCCTGTAGAGTCTGTAGGGTGTGGGTGTCAGGTTGCTGTAGGGGTGGGGGTGGGGGACGTGCACTGTGGTCAGGTGAGGGTCTGGTGTATCTCAGGCGTCAGTGAATGTGTAATGTGCATGTGTGTGTGTCTGTCCTGTGGTGGGGGTCTGTGGGGTTTGTGTGTGTGCACATGCGAGTGTGCCTGCACCTGTGCCCCACGTTATGGTGTGAGGAGGTTGTGCCCTGGGCACAGGTGAGGGTCTGGTGTGTCTTGAATGAACAGGCAGCGTGCACATCCGTGGTGGGTGAGACTGCGATGAGCATGTGGGGGGGGTGTGGATGAGTGGGTGTGTGCATCAAACTGGCCCTGCACGTCGGGGTGGTGGTGTGCCCCTGTGGTGGCTGATTGCGGGAGAGGGCAGGCTGCCCTCAGCTGGGATGGGGGTGGTTCCTCTCCTCTTGGGTCTCTCAAGGTCTGGGGGGGCTGGAGTGGGAGAGGTGGCCCCTTTACCCCACTCTGCTGTTTCCACCAGACCACCTGTTCCTTCTCCCCACTCCCTTCCCTCCTCCTCTCTCCATTGGGTGAGGTGGGGGCCAGGCTGGCAGCCCTGCCAAGGAGGGTGGGCCAAACCCTCTGGGCCAGGGAGTGGCCCCTGCCGCCCAGCAGCTGTGTCCCACCCCTTCTGTCCCTCCACACAGATGGGGAGTGGAGGACGGCACTCCATCTGCTCCCCCCAGACTCACACCTCCCCCGTTCCCGCTCTTCCTCTTTCTCACTTACTTAAAAGCCTCCCCAAGTCTCCTGCTGTCCCTCGTGGAACCAAGGGACCAGAGGGAGTCTCACGGTAACAGTAATGATATTTATTCCCACGGCCAGACCGTGTGCTGAGACCTTCACACATACAGTCTCACTGAATCCTCACAACAACCCAGTTCACAGATGAGCACACTGAAGTCCAGAGAGGATGAGGGCCCTGCCCAAGCATGCAGTAGGTGCTGAAGCCAGCACCGGATCCTGGGCAGTGGGGCTCCACGGCCCATGCTCTTCACCCCTAGGACTGCTGCCCCCCAGCCTCCCACACCACCAGGTCCAGGAATCAAGGCCCAGAGAGGGCAGGAATATGGCCAAGACCACACAGCAACTAGGGCCAGAGCCAGGACCAGAACTCAGTTTTCTTAATGGCGGATCAGGGAGTCCTTCCTTCTCTTGGCAGCGATGGGTCTGTTTCTTCGCAGGTGCCCTTGCCTGAGAGATGACAGGGTATAGTGGAGGACAGGCTCGGGGCAGGTAGGCCTGGGTTTGAATCGTGCAGCTCCAGTGTGAGTGAGCCAGAGGGTAAGGCCTGGAGCAGCTTGCTGGGTTCTCAGACCTCCTCGGTGCCTCCTCTGTAAAGTGGGGAGCGTAGCCCCGCCTCCTTCACGGGGCTTAAGCGCAGTGGCAGGTCCTGACCCAGCCTCCCCTCTCTGCGCCCCCGCAGCAGCGGCCCCTGAAACAGTCCCTGGGAAGCTCCCTGTGCCGCGAGTCGCACTGGAAGTGCCTGCTGCTCACGCTGCTCATCCACGCCTGCGGCGCCGTGGTGGCCTGGTGTCGCCTGGCCACGGTGCCACGGCTGGTCCTGGGGCCCGAGGCAGCCCTGG